ATAATGTTGATTTTCATAATAAATTGTTTTCCACATTTAATTTTTTTTCTTGATTTTTTCTTTTTAGATATTCATATAGGGATACTTTAAGAGAATGCGGTAATATTTTAAATAAAACTCACTAAACACTGCATTCTAATAAGATTGAACACTTACACTTATTTCTCTGAAATTTATGTAATAAGTTTTAAAGTCTATTCATTGATTGTCTCATCTGTTGGTGACGAGAATATAAAATTATTGATATTTCTTTCGCTTTCAAATTAAGAATTCCTTTCCTCTCTAAAAAATTTCAATTAATTCAAAATAAAATTTTAAATAACTTGCATTGTCTTTACTAAACGAAATTTCATTTCTTAAGAGATGGGAAACCAATTTCATTTAATTGAACCAATTAAATTATGCTTTTTTTTTAAGATTAAATTCAAAATTTTAAAATTTCTGACATACCTTAATCCAAGATTAATTAAATTGTATCAAAAAAAAAAAAAGAAAAAAATCATGTGATTACAAGACCACATAAGTGTTAAATATATACGGACGGCATGGATGCACACAATTCTTTTTCAAATCCTAATGAATTCATTTAATCCGATTTAATGTAATTTAAAATATTTTTTTTTCTCTTTAATTCCAATTCACCCTACTACCCTCTCATACAAAGTTAATAATATAAGATTAATATTAAATAATTTTAGGTTTAAATAAAACTTAAAAAATTTTTATAATATTGTTACCATATGCTTAAATATATTATATTACATATACACATATTAATTAATATGGCCGGTGTATTTGAAAATAAAATTTATTTTCTATCCAAAATCACAAATACCACACCGACTTATACTTAACTTTCAAGAGTAAAAAAAAGGAAAAATATGGTACGTTTTTTTTTTTTTATTTTTAACTAGATTTATAATAGTAGATAACTATAATTATCATTATTACTGAACCGTAAATTAACAAACATAACTCAAATTACAAAAGGAATTGAATGTGACCCTAACTAAATTAATAATGATAATCACTGTTTTGTAAAAAAAAAAAAAACAAGAAAGAAAAATTTTTCAAATATGAAAGCAATGTGCAGGCAAAGACACACACGTAAATAATATGCACACAAAATTAATTCTCTATGCATTTCACATAACTTATACAAACGCTACCCATACAAGTACGTATGTATGTATGTATGGTTATGCGTTTATAATAATATATTAAATTGTATAGCTATAGAATAATCCCTTAGAGTCCTATTATTTTTTATCCTTTCCCTAATTTTATTGTACACTCTGTTTTTTGTTGTTTTCTCGTTCTCTGCTCCTTCTTTTATTTCTTTTATATTAAATTTTGCCACCATCAATATCAACATCACAATCATTATGATCAATATCATTTCATCGTCATCATCATCATCATCATTATGTTATAGTGAGTGATGTAATTGCAATTCTTTCCTTTTATTTTTTTTTTCTCTGTTTCTCTTTATTGTACTTTCAACGAATTCCTAATTAAGGATATTTTTTTCTTGTTGTTGTTGTTATTATTTTCTTATTGTACTTATAAAATATCATCAACAGTTTTTCATAGATGGTATTTTATCTCTTTTGTAGAGTAAACAGGAATCGGCAACATTGAAAATAATACTTGCCTTGCTTTGCCATATATGTTCAAACACAATACGAACACACTCAAAAGAAAACTCAATTTTATTTTTAGACGTTAATACACATTTTATATATTTATGTATGTGTGTTCCTTACTTACACATAGATAAGTATATTGACAGTATATTGGAAATAAATATATAAAACAAGTCAACTAACCATCTGATGCGAATGTCCCAGGACAGTTCCGGATTATATTCAGTACTTCGCATTGATTTACTCTATTTAAGAATATTATCATAATAATTAAATTTTTGTATATTAAGAATTTTACAATGTTAACAAACGTTATACGAATAAATTATGAATAGTGGAATGGCATAAAATAAGAATCGTGGAGATAAAATTTCACAAGTCGACTTCAAAAATGTATTCCTCTTTGTCGCAGAAATCTAATAGACATTATTTTTACTGAGTAGTTTGGTTGTTAGTCTGGCGGTTTTCAGACTGTCCGTAATCTTCTGAACCTTCTAAACTTCGGTTAAACCGACTTTGATAAAATTTTATATGTATGTAAGTAAATGCGATAACTAGATTTTTTATTTTCAAACATATGTATACATATATCCCGCTTTTTCTCACAATTTAAATGGTCAACCTAACGTATACCAAATAATATAAAAGTAAACTGAAACATAACTAAGGGAAGAAATACTTAATTCGAGGGAAAAGATGAAAAGAATTGATGAAAACTTAAAAAAGATAAAATGGAAACAACAATATGAATATAACATCAGCAGCGGCAATAGCGGCAGCCAACAACAAAACGAATAACAGTAAAATAATCAACAATTTTTGCAAGTTTTACTGTTTTTGTTGTTTTCAGTTTTCCACAATTCATCACACAAAGAAGGGAACGATAACATTTTCACGTCGTTATTTGTTTAGTGTGTGTCTGTGAGTACTTTGTTTTTGCTTTTATTTTTCTGTTCGCCTTGAATCAGTATAATAACGGCGGCGTACACAACACAGCATAGAAATGATAATGACGTATCGAATTGAATTGAATTAAAATTTCAATTGAATATGAACGAATGATAAAAAATAAGAGCAGGACAAGAAAATAAAAATAAAGAAAACAGAAAAATAAAAATTGTTAAAGAAAAATAAATGATTTTACTCTAAATTCTAGGCCTCATTACTGTTTCTATAAATATGTATGTATGATAGCTGGTTGCCGCCACCGCCGTTCGATATTATTTTAATTTATAAAGAATTTTTTTTTTTTTTTGGAATAGAACGAATGTGTGAAAAATCATTATCCTTACCGGTTATAACATTTCAATTGAGACGGTATGCAATTGTACATACAATGTATGCAAGTTTGTACGTATGTACATACATAACGTATTTTATTTTTACGAATTTATAAAATGTAGAAACAGAAATGCAGGCATAGAATCAATCCATTTACATACAATATTCAATATTCGATTTTTTTCTGTTTTAATTTTTCTAATTTAGATTTTTAAGAGCCAAAATCTATTATTTTTAATTGGAAATATTGAATTTTAAAATTTATTTTAGTGAACATATTGGAGCTGGAATTTTGGAAGAAATTATAATATTCATGCTTCACACGTATTATAGGATTACCAATTCATTAGTAATACTAATGTTATAATGAAGAATTAAGAAAAGAAAGACTTGTATGGCTTTATAGTCTAGAGATTGGAACAATATTATTCTCACTTATAATGAAGATTACCTTCACAAGACTCATGATTAACCTTATAAAGAAGGTGCTTTATACTATAATTGGAATCCCTTGTTGAAAAATTTAATATTAAATTGAATTAAAAATTTTCAAAGTTTCTCGCCCAATTATGGCTTACAAATTGTTAAACCTTGATTCTAAAATTTTTTTCTAATTTATCAAAATTAAAATTAAGTTTCAAGACCAAATCGATTTTTAAGATGGTAATTGTACAAAAAAATTTCAGATCTTAAACTGTATAAGAGAACAGTGAGAAAATCATGAGTACAACTAATACCTGTAGTCTGTATTAGTGTAACTAATACATTTCTGGTCGAAATAATATGAACTTGTACTAATTTTTTTTTTCTCAAATATAGTTTTTTTGGGATTAAAACAAGTTGGCAACTTTCACGCTACAAAATTAAATTGCGATTATACTACCAATTATGTTTCTGCTATTACAAATTATTATACAAACTGAAATATATACATATATGTATATAAAATCCGGTAGTTTCCTTCATAATTTTGTACATGTGCAAGAACGTAGATAAGATAATGAAAGTAGAACAAAAATAATGCAAAAAAAAATAGGGTGAGAATATTAACAAAGTTAGAGGAGAGCGCGCATAAATTTTGTGAATGAAAAATATATAAAATTTAATTTTGTTACCAGAATGGTAGAAAAAATAGAATACAAGTCAAAAGATTTCGATCTGTTAAATTTTGCGATTGCGAACGAAAATTTTAACTTCTAATTGGCTTATACGTTAAAGTCAATGAGTATAAAATCAAATTGCAAAAGGGTAACTAATATCAATGTTTAATGTGCGTATGAACATGTGTTTGCTAAAACAAAAATTGATTTCAAATTAACCCCTTCCATTTAAAATATAAAAAATAATATGAGGACATACGAAATCGAGTTTATTATATGATTGTACAAATTAGATGCTGTCTTTACCAAAATTTATTTTAATGAGACTATACACTTATCTTTACCTATATTTACTATAAATACTCATATTACACGTTTTTCAAAAGTAAATTGTTTTCTATATTTTATAGAGTGTTCTGGAAATAAAATGATAACTAAGTTACACCACAGTATACGCACTATAAATTATTTATGTGAAGAGAAAAATTTGTTTTTTTTTTTTTAAATTTTCCATGTTTTTTCCATTATTATTAAAATACAGCGAAAACAAGCATTAATTAGACCTTAAATGAGATTTCAAATTCAACAGTAAAATAAATCTGAAATGTGAATAATTTAGAAATCAGGAGGTGATGTTCTCGTTTTCTAAAATGGAAATTTATTAAATGATCTTATATACAGTGCACATTACTTAATGCGAGACACCTTGTATTTAAAGAGTTTTATTGAAATTATTGTATAAAAATATGTAATGATTGTTTATGAAATAAAATATGAGCTGCGCTAATTAATACAAAAAGAAATAAAAGTAAAAAATTTCTTAAAATTAAGGTTATTAATGAACGTTACTTATTAATTGTATCTATTACAACGTTGTGCTGGGCAACAATAACAAAAATAAAGCAATCTAACATTTGTTAATAAAAAGTGTCTTGTGCACTATACAAATAGTTTTCATATTCTCAATTCATACCTTTTTAAGAATAATTGAAGGAATACAGGTCTTACAGGAGTAATCAATAGTAATTATTAACTATGAATTAACAATTATGTCGGATGTTGCTCCTTATCGATATTTGTGGATTCTGAAAATTTCAAACAAAACATGAAACACCAAATTTAAGTTTTATGATTTTAGAAATATGAACTTTAATGAACAGACGGTCGAACAGATATAGAGAATTGATTCAGAATTTGACCTTTCAACTTAACATCGCTGAAAAATCTTTCGAATATTTGTCTACTTGGACATAATTAAAAAGAGTTTACAATGCTAAAAATGATAAATTTATTCCGTTATAATAATTATAATTAAAAAAAAAATAAATTAATAATATTCACAACTAGTAATTGTAAAATAAACAATCTAAATTTAAATAACTTGCGACAAAACAAAAAACAGAACATAAGAGAAAAAAAAGAATTTTTGAATTAAAAATAAACCACAAAAAAAAAATAAATAAAATGCTTTTCCATTTCAAATCTAATTTTCATTTGTCATTATAAGAATCACAATATATCGCCGCCCACATACTTATAATAAGAATTAGATCTAATGTAGCTCTAAATGTGAATGTCTCATTAAAAACTGTTTATTATCTTCTTTTTGGTCGCTTTCAAATCGCACATAAATTTTATTTGTTGATGAGGACAAATAAAAAAAAAACAAATAAAATCGTTTCAATCTGACTGAATCCGATACCCTGCATTTGGAAAATTTGAGTATAAAAACTTGTTTTTGAAATATAAGTATAGAATTATTTTTCTAATGGCAGTTATTTGAACCCTTTGACCGAATTTTTCCTAGAGCCGTCCCTGGCACAAAAGAAAAAATTTATGAAATCGTTTTTAGTTATTTTTAATCGTTTTTGAGTTATTGTACGATCGAACGGACGAGTGAATATGTCTAAATGAATGCAAAATTTCGAAATCAGAACGCTGAGCAAGAATATACATTTTCCTACCGAAAGACTCGGCTCGGCTCCTTCATGTAATTACAAATCCATACCTAAGTTAATATACCCTTCCCAAAGGTGCAGGGTATAAAAATATAAAAAAAAAATAAAATTATAATTATGTGTCATAGATAAAAAAAATTTTCCCCAAAAATTATATTAATTTTTGTAAATGACTCATTTGCATGGTAAATAAATTAAAAGGATCAAATATCAAAATAATTTATTATTAAACTTAATGATGATTTCTAATTTTATTTAATATTTGTACAAACTAATTTATGGAGAATTTGCTAAGAAATCTGGTGAATATAAGATTTTGGTATTATATACAGCGATTTCGACAAAAAATCTAACCAATGAAAATATAATGCGGCAAGTAAGCGAATTAGCCGACATTATAAAGAATTTTACAATACAATTAATAAAAAAGAAAAATTTCATAGATAGTATCGAATGCTTCGAATTCGACGGCTCGAGAGAATTCGGCAAATTCGGCAAAATTTGAAAATGCTTTAGAAAATTAATAATTTATCACTATGAATTTTTCAATAGGTAATTTGACATTTTTTAATTTAAGAAAATTTTAATGACAATAGAATTATGAAACTATAACAAGGATTTTATTGAGGAAAAAATAAAATGTAAACTATTTATTTTATTCTCATTGAAATGACAATCGATTTTGCATCTTTTCTCATACCGTGTTACTCTTTTACAAAGAAAATAAAAATGAAAAACTTTAATAGATTTCTTTTTTCAATCAACAATTATATGCCACAAACCAACAAACCATACCCATACCCATACCATAAATGTATGCACAAGTATATGTACCAATACCATGAGTACCTAAATACATATGTATATATATACAAATGTAGGATCGTAAGGAATATTTATGAGAGGATAAGGTAGACAACAATATGCATACTTACATTAACTTACATACATATCTACATAATATAAAGTCAAGGCCAAAAAATAAAAGAAGGAAAAAAGTGTGTTAAAAAAAAAAAATCATGAAAAAGATGGAGAAATAAAATGAGAAATTCCAATGAATTACAAGGGATGAAAGAGAGATAGGGAGGACAAGGGAACAAATAGGATGTCATCTTTACAACAATAACAAGAAAATATACAAAAAAAAAGAAAAAGAGAAATATATATATAAGTAGAACGAGAGAGAGAAAAAAGAAAAATTGAATGAAAATCCTGAATGAAATGTGGAAAATTTTTTCATTTTCTCTCAACTTTATATTGATTATTTGATTAGGGACGGTTTTTTTTTTCTTCTTCTTGGAAAAATGTGCAGAAATTTGAAGCAGCTTATTTATACATAATATACTTGTTGGTATATAATGTTTATTTTATTATATAAAGAGCATAAATATGACAAAAAACAAAAAACAGAATCTTAAAAGTCTGTGAGCTTGAAGGATAAGTGTATTTTTTTTTTTTGTTTTAATGTTAGGTAATTTATGTATTAATTTTTTTTTTTTCGTTACATTTTCGTTAGAACTTTGTCTTTAAGGTTATTAACCATTAAAAGAACAAGATTTATATTTTGTCGTAATTTTGTTAAGTAAAATATAAGAGTACATTTCATTATTATTTTATTAATTTAGACAATGTTTGTCGGTATGTTTTACTGTAATTAATAAATTATTTACTGTATTGCATTGCATCGTATTCTAAATGTAAATTAGAAACTAATTTATTTAATATATTTTGTCCAGAATTAGAATTTGAAATTGCATGGCTTAATAAAAAAAAAATTTGATCTTAAACTTACGTATTTTATGAGATGCCCTTCTTCAGGCGCTAGCAAGCAAAAATCTTATGAAAAGAAGCAAGAATGATGCAGTGTTAATTGAGTTTCTTTATCAAAATTAAGTTTACAAGTTATAACGGTAAAAACTTGATATCTTTACAAATTATAAGTGATGACTGATGAGAAACTGCTAATAGCCTGTAACATTTCAAAAATATGATTCGTGTGATGATTTTCTATATATTATGGTTAATGTTTACCAAAAACCTAATCTTTATATAGATTATTCGAGTAGCCTTTATCTTAGAATATTAATCTGTACATATGCACACTTGTTTTATCCATTTTTGTAATTATTTTCAACAACATACTTTCAATTTATACGAGTATTCATTTTAAAATTTATGAAATCATAACGCAATTCACAATAACATCAGGTATGTGTAACGCGTTTTAATTTAACATTATTTTTTTACATTTTTTATTTTCTTTTCTTTAAAATGACTGTTAACAAAATGAAAATTGATTTTTTAAATTCTTAACACGATTTTTACGCATTTATTCATTTTGTAACACTTCATAACTTCTTAGACTCAATAATGAAACGTACAACACACGGTATTGCTAATTTTTTCAATCAAAAAAAAAAAATTACACCCAATCATTATTAAAACAATTATTTATTGCTATTGTCATTTTTTAGAATTAATTTTAAAATTATAAAAATTACAATACAAAAAATAATAAAAGAAAAATTTAATAAGAAATATGATTTTTGCCCATATTTGTAAATCAATAACCATGATTTAAATAAAACTAATTGAATTTTTTTGGCACCCCCTTTGGGAAATTAAACTCACGTACATACTAAAACATACATACTTGTGTTTCTTTAACTTCATATATAAAAGAAGCATATATGTAAGTATATTCGCTTTAGTATGCCACAAGCAAGACAGCGAAGTCTAGTAGTAGAGTTTTCCACTTAATCAAATTTGACTTTACATATATGTCATGTATTTAAACAGCCGACAAGGTACACAAGAATGGGAACACAAAATGGACACATTAAATTTTATAATAAATACCCCACTTCCACTGACTTCAAAAGTTTACGGTAATGAGTCATCATATGAAAAAATTTGAACTATTGCAAATCAAGTTTTGCAAGAACATGTTAGGACTTCAAGCGCTTATTAAATTTATTACAACACGAACGATTAAATAATAAATCATTTGACTGATTCTTAACTTATTATTATGCAATAATTAGCAAATAACTACAAAAAGTCATCTTGTTTTTACTAGGTGAATACCTTATGTAATACGCAGCAAGAACATTTTAGACATAATTGGAATAAGTAGACAGTTCATAATCGAACGTACAACAACTGTCAAGTTTTGACAAAATTTTAGTTTTTAAATTGGAAACCAATGCAAAAATATTAACCCCTAAAACCGATCAACCAATGAATGCATAATTAAGATATTTTAATATTTCAGAAATTTTTAATGATGTAAGATGAAAGAAGTTGAACTGAATTAAGTGAATGTATCTTGACTTTCGTAAAAAAATTTAATCACTTACAACAATTAAATTCAGACATTTGCCAGGAAAGAAAATGCCGCATCCTGCCATCAAGCACTTCCTTTCAGTGTAAAACACCAAAGTAATTCAAATTCGGAAAAATTTGACAATAGTTTTCTATTATAAGCATATGTAGCTACATATGATATTATTTCGCAATTTCTTTAAAATATTCTAATATTCTTCTACTTAGTGTGCTATATATCATTCATTTAACCGAATACATACATATAAAAATACTGAAGGTAAGGTAAGTATGAAAACTAAAACTAAAACTATAAAACTAAACAAAAAAATTTATAAACAAACAGAAATTATTCCAATCATAATTCAATTAAATCACCATAAATCATTTATGCTACTGACAAAGAATTTTAAAATTATTCTGCAGTTAAACAGTTAATATAGGCAATGGAAAAAAAAACAAAAATAAGAAAAAAGAAATAACAAATCAGACGTCTGACTTTGAGTTTCTGTTATTGGGGGAAAAAAAAATTGAGTCATATTTTTTCTTTTTATTTGTATTTCTCTTTTATTTTTATTTTTTCTCATTTTTCTCCGCATACTTAATTTGTTTTGTAACTGAATCGATTCTCAATACATAAATGGGAGATATCGTTTTGTTTCAGGCACTGACCTTGTCTCTCCTTTTCATTTCTTTTATTATTATTGTTATTGTTATGCTTTTCTTTTCATTTTTTTAATCAATTTTCTTATTAAATATTTATTAAAACAAAACAAAACAAA